AGCAGTAAGAGAAAAAAATGCTCTCATACAAGGGAAACCACATAAAGCAATCAATGGATTTTTTAGCAGGCAACTTGCAGACCAGGAGAAAATGGGATGATATATTCAAAGTGCTAAAAGAAAGCAACTGCCAGCCATGAAACCTTCCCCAGTAAAGCAGTCCTTCAGGACCGAAGGTGAAATAAAACTCCCTGGTAAACAAAAGCCGAGAGAGTTCATCACCACTAAACCTGCCTAACGACAAATTCTGAAAGCAGCTCCTCAACCTAAAAGAAAAGCAAAAAAGGACGCTAATTAGTAACATGAAAACATAAGAACAAATACAGCACACTGGTAAAGGCAAGCATACAGCCAGATTCAGAATACCCTAATGCTGCAATATGGTGATGTGTTAACTATTTAATTATAAAGGTTAAAGAACAAAAGTATTAAAAACAGCTATAGCTTTGACAATTTGTTAAAGGATACACAGTTCAAAAAGATATAAATGGTGATATCAAACACAAAAAAGGGGGAGTAAAAGGATAGAGTTTTTATATGTGATCAAAGTTCAATTGTTACCAATGTAAAATAGACTATCATATACATAAGATGTTTTATGTAAGCTTCATGGTAAGCACAAAGCAAAATCCACAGTTGCTACACAAAAAGATAAAGAGAAGGGAATCAAAGCATAACACTACAGAAAATCATTAATCCACAAAGGTAGGCAGCAAGAAAAAAAAATTGAAACTACAAAACAGCCAAAAAACAATAAGATGGCATTAATAAGTCCTTACCTAGTAATAATTACTCTAAATGTAAATGAATTGATTTCTCCAATCAAAAGGCATAGAGTGGCTGGATGAATGAGAAAACAAGACCCAACTATATGCTGCCTGTAAGAGACTCACTTCAGTTTTAAGGATACCCCAGGCTTAAAGATAAGGGGTAGCAAAAGTTATTCCATGCAAGTGGAAATCAAAAGGGATGGGGGTACTATATTTATTTCAGACAAAATAGATTTTAAGCCAAAAACTCTAATAAGAGACAAAGATTGTCATTATATAATGATGAGGGAGTCAATTCATTAAGAAGATATAACATCCATAAACACATATGCACTCAACATCGGAGTACTTAAGTGTATTATGTAAATACGAACAGAACTGAAAAGAGAAATCAACAATACAATAATAATAATAGCAGGAAACTTCAATAGCCCATTTTCAACAATAGATCATCCAGACAGAAAATCAACATAAAAACATTGGACTTCAACCATACTTTAGACCAAATGGAACTAAGGCATACAGAACATTTCACTGAACAGCAACAGAATACATGTACCTCTCAAACACAAAGGGAACCTTTTCAAGATACATCACATCATAGATCACAAAAAAAGTCTTAGCAAATTTAAGAAGATTGAAATTATACCAAGTATCTTTTCTAATCACAATAGTATGATACTACAAATCAGTAACAGAAGGGAAGCTGGAAAATTCACAAATATGTGGAGATGAAATATTTTCTTGAATAACTAGTGGGTCAAAGCATTAATCAAAAGGCAAATCAACAAATATCTTGAAACAAATAATAGAACCACAACATATCAAAACCTATGGAATGCTGCAAAAGCAGTTCTAAGACAGTTTATAGAGATAAATGCCTACATTAAGAAACAAGAAAGATCTCAAAAACAAACAAAAAAACAAAACACCCCGAAAAACAAAAAAAACCTCAATTTTACCTCAAGAAACTACAAAAAGTACCAATTTAAGCCTAAAGTTAGCAGAAAGAAGAAAATAACTAAGATTAGAGCAGAAATAAATGAAATAGAGACTAGAAAAATAATAGAAAAGGTCAATGAAACTAAGGGCTCTTTTTTTAAAAAGATAAATAAAATTGACAAACCTTTAGCTAGGTTAACTTAAGCGTGTGAAGAGGGAACCTCTGTGTACTATTGGTGGGAATGTAAATTGGTACCAGTACTACGGAAATCAATATGGACATTCCTCAAAAAATTAAAACTAGAACTACCATATGATCCAGCAATCCCACTTTTGGGTAGTTATCCAAAGGAAATAAAAACAGGGTATTGAAGAGATACCTGCACCGCCATGTTCACTGCAGCACTATTCACAATAGCCAAGGTATGACAACTTGGTCCTTATAGACACAAATTTATAGTTCTGCATGTCAGAAGCTTGAAATGAGTCGTAAAGGGTAAAATCAAGGTGTTGACTGGTTAGGTTCTTTCTGAGGGCCTCAAGGAAGATTGTTTCTTGCTTCTTTAGTTTCTAGAGTCTGTCAGCATTCTCTGTTCATGTCCACCCTTCTCCAATCTCTGCTTGGCTCTCCCATTGCTACCTTCTCCCCTACCAACCCTCTTGCCTGTCTCTTACAAAAACCCTTATAATTACATTTAGGGTTCGCCCAGATACTGTAGGAAAACTGCCCCACCTCAAGATCTTTAATCACATCTACAAATCCTTTTTGCCATAAAAGATAACTTTTTAGGTTTTAGAAACTATGATATGGCTATCTTGAGGAGGGGGCATTATTCAGCCTATCTTCATGTGATTTGGCCTACCACTGCTGTAAACATTGATGTACAGTTTTTTTGTGTGAAGACAGCTTTCATTTCTCTTGGTTAAATACATAGGAATAGGATAGCTAGGTTGCATGGTAAGTGCATGTTTAATTTTCTAAGAAAATGCCAAACTGTGTTCCAATGTACCTGTAATCCTTCCATTCTTTCTGAAGCATACAATTACCTACTGCATAAACAGAAAAAGTGTTCATAAAGAAAAAGCAGAACTGATAAGTTTTTGGTTTGACAATACTGTTTATCAAAACGATAGGACAAATTCTCAACAGAAAAATACATAGGAATAAAAAGAGAAAAATGCATTTAAGAGACTGGCGTTTTAAAGGCTCCAACATACATCTAATAATAATTCTAGAAACTACTTAGCAAATAATGGGGGAGCAATACTGAATAAATTTTTCAAAAATTGGGGAGATATTTAAATCCACAGACTGATAATGCACAAGAATAAACAGTCACACCCAGACACATCATAATGAAAATGTGGGGTATTAAAGATAAAGAGAAAATCTTAAATCTACCAGAAAAAATAAACAGATTACTTAAAAGAATGAAAATTAAGACTGACAGCAGGCATTTCAACAACAATAGCAGAGACCAGATATTAATACAGTAATAAAAAAAAACTACAACTTTTTACGTGAAATATTGGGGGCAGACATATTTCAAAATTCAGAATTTATGAGTGGATGGAGGATGCTAGAAAATGAACATGGTCCATGTACCGTATATGACATAACACCTCCAGCAGCACATTTAGGCAACTCTGAGGGATAAGGCTTAAAGTTAGGTTCCCGAAGCTTCCACAGAAAAACCATGAGCTAGAGACCTCACAGTAGAGAAGATCTGACAGAACTGTACTAACTTTGCTTGGAACCTACAAATTATTACAGATCACCACTTCGTGTGCTTTTGTTACCTTGTTTCTCTGTACTGTTTATGCAAAAACTATAAAGAAGTTGGGCCAGCTGAGTGGCGCGTTGGTTAAGAGCTGGCTTGGGATGCCAGCTCTGAGCAGCAGGGCCCTAGTTCCGATCCCACATGAGGGCCAGTGACACTGCCCTCTACAGCTAAGATGGTGAACAACAGCTCAACCTGGAGCTGGGCTGCTGTTGAGTCACTGGCAATGGCGTAGGCTGCAGCCTCTGCTGCAGTGGACTGCCATAAGCTACCGTGTGTGGCTGGCAGCCAGTGTGAGCTGCCCAGTGAAGCAACGTCCTCCACAACTAGACTGAAGAACAAAATGACAGCAACTTGTCTGTTTCCCTTCCCCCAATTCCCCAATAAAATCTTAAAAAAAATAAAAATGAAACTGGCTTAGTTTAGTGTTGTAAAAACAAACAAACAAACGAACAAAAAAAACTATAAAGAAGTTCAAGTTTCCCTGACCTTTTCTCCCAAAACCCCGTCTTCTGCAAAAATCCCTTTCCTGCTCCCCAGCAGTCCACTCTTAAGTGATTTTGGTCTACAATTCTAGAATCACATTTTTCAAATACTTTTTTTTTTACCTAGGCTCAAAATAAAAATGTATTTTACACCACAACCTAGAAATCATCACTCGCCACACACATAAACATCTGAGATGTTTCAGTAACAGTAATTACACTTATTATGTGCCAAACACTGACATTTTGTTCTGTTGTATTTAACTCCAAAAAATGCTGACTGTGACTTACTAAATTGATTTCATGACACACCAATTGGTAGCAACCTGCAGATAGACAATATCTAGAAATTTTCTATGTATGTATAAACATGCTCATGTACATCCTTTTTATATAAAAAATGGAATCAGGCCATAGCAATTATATCTGTGTTACACTGTAACTGTCTTTATTCATATTTCTTTTTACATTATTTGTTAATATACTCTTAATGTCACTAAGAGTTAAAGCATAGCTATACCCTCATTGGTATATTCCTAATTCATTATTCTATTCTAAAAGAAATAATTTATTTTCTAAAATGATTTTCAAAGATATAGAATCATCTGATGTAGTTTTAACCTCATATGTCACAGATCTAAGAGGTATTTTTTTTTAAACCCTTCACTAAGAAATGCTGCACTTTCATATATAGAATTTCCTGTCAAACAGGCCACGTTATCCACATCATGCTCATCCACTAAAGTGGAATTTGAGGGTGGAGGTATCATTGCTTGAAAGAGTTATGAGTAATGTCAAGATCTCCCTCTTTATGTCCCATCTATGCCCTTTTACATAGGCTTATTGAACTAAACGCTTACTTATTAGTTTTGTTATGTAAGTTTTTATGAATTTAATCATAGACCTCTATGCTTTTCATAAAAGGGAAATGCGACAAAGTGTTCCCACTGTATTTAAAAGACGCAAATAAAATAAACAAAATGTTCTACTGAGGTTTTGGTATAACTTTATTATTTCCAGATACCAAGTAAAATATAATTTTTATTTATAAAAAATAAGCATCTACAAATTTAAAAATGTAACATTTGGTAACTGACATAACAGCTTAACTAAGATAGAACACTGAAGAATAACAAATAGGATATGCATCTTCCAACTTTTAACTTTTTTTCTTACTTTTTATATTGAAATGATTTCAGACTTACAGAAAAGTTATGAAATAGTACAAACAATTCAGTGCCAAGATCCTGGTTTCTAAATATCAATCTCTAATAAAAGGAACAAGAGCTCTGGAGAAGTAATCAATTGTAGGGCTAGAGCAGGGAAAACACAAGACAAGGCAGAACATTTTGCAGTACCAGAAAGCAAGAAACTGCTCACAAACCAAAAGGATGGAGACATTTCAAAAGGCCACAGGAGTCTACCAGAACTCCAAATGGTCAAAGCTGGAACTATGAGACAAAATTAAAAATGTATCAGATTATAACCCAAAGAATAAAATAAATATACACAAGTCCATACAAACGTAAATAAATGATAAACAAACAGGGGAGAAGAGACAAATCTTCCTTACAGAGGAATCCAAATAATATATATAGAAACTATCCCACGTAGGAGGTAAAGTTTAACCTTTAATCTGTCCTCCAGCCCCTGACCCTGCTTTTGAGTGGGCTGAACTTAGTGACTCTCTTCCAAATAGAGTGGGAAAAACTGGAACTTTAGAGAGGAGAAACCTGGCAGATACTACCTTCACCAAGATATCATGGTTTACTTCACCAGATAGATACCCTGTAGAGAGCATCTACTCCCAGATATAATGGGATGAGAAGGGTACTTTACCTCTTTAGTATTATTTCTAAAAACCCATTAACCCAATCTAATCATGAGAAATACATAAAACAAACCAAAACTGGGAGGACATCCTATAAATATTTCACCAGTACTCCCCCAAACTATCAAAGTCACGAAAAATAAGGAGTGACTGAGAAACTGACAGAGATCAGGGGAGACTGGAGAGAGATGATGAATAAATGCAATGGGGTACACCCTGGATTGGATCTTGGAGCAGAAAAAGGACATTAAAGAAAAAATTGTGAATTGTAATTAAAGTCTGGAGTTTGGAGGAACATTCATGGAAAATGGGTGAAATCTGAATAAAGTCTGGGCTTTAGTTAATAGTAATATACCAATGTTGGTATCTTAGTTCTGAAAAATGTATCACAGTAATTTAAAATGACATTAGAGGAAACTGAAATTGGGTGAGGGGTGTACTATCTTTTCAACTTTTTTGTAAATCTTAAATTATTCCAAAATAAAAAGTTCATTTTTTAAAAAGTACAAAGAATTTCCATACACACTTTACTCAGATTCCCCAAACTTAACATTTTACCACATTTACTTTATCGGTCTCTCCTTCCTCTACAGATTTTTTCAGAACTTGATAACCTGCAAATATCATTCCCCTTGACTCCTAAATATTTTAAAGTATTTCCTTAAAAATAAAAAAACACACACCACATAATCAAAATAAGGATGTTACAATACAATCTAGAAACCTTCACATTTTGCCAATTGTTCTACTAATGTCCTTTATGACAAAAATAGAATCAAATAATAAAATAAAAATAATATAATTGTTTCTGTCTTGGCCCATGATCTATCCCAGGGTCATACATTGTATTTAATTGTCCAATCTCTTTAGTCTTCTTTGATCTGGAACAAATTCATTCTTTGTTTTTCTTGACCTTGACATTTTGAAGAGTACAGGCCATTTATTTTGTGAAACTTCCCTCAATTTGGTTTGAGTAATGTTTCTTCATGCCTAAATTCTGGTTGTATATTTTTACAGGAATACCACAGAAGCGATGTTATGCTCTTCTCAGTGCATCCTACTAGGATGCATGATGTCTATTTGCCCCATACTAATAAAGTTAACTTTGACAACTTGATCAGGTAGTGTATCCACCGTAAAGTTGCTATTTTTTTCCATGAGTGATTAGTAAGTATCGTGTGAGATGGTGTTCTGAGGCTGTAAAAATATCCTTCTTGTCATCAACTCTTCATGCATTAGTTGTATGATCCATTAATGATTCCTGCCTGAAACAATTTCTGGTTATTCTTATATATTTGTATTTCCTAATGAATTATGTCAATTTGTTTATTTCTGTAAAAAAACATGTATTTTTTATTGAGATTGTTAAATTATATATTAGAGAGAACTGTCTTTTCATTGGTTCAAATCTAATTTTGTGTCTTTCAGGTGTTTTAAGGTTTTTCTCAAATAGTTTTTGTATACTTCTTGTTACATTTATTCCTAAGGATTTTATTTTCTTTGTTGTTATTTGAGGTTTTCCCTATATTGTCTGACTGGTAAATGTTTGTATATGGAAAGGATATTGAAATCTGAATGCTAACTTTTATAGTTAGCTAGTTATTATTTCGTTGCTTGAGCTAGTTTTATTATTGATTTCTCTAGAGCAGAAATCCACAAACTTTTTCTATAAAATGTCTGATAGAATATTTTCAGCTTTGTGAGCAAACCATTTCTATCACAAGTATCTAACTCTACCAGTGTAGGGCAAAAGTAGCTACAGGCATACATAAACAAAATGATGTGACCAGGTTTGGCTCCCAGGCTACTTTGCTGATACCTGTTCTAGAGTTTTCTAGGTATACTATTGTATCATCTACAAATAAGAGATCACTTTACTTCTTATTTTCCAATTGTTATGCCTATACTGATTTCTCTTGTTTAATTGCATTGCCTAATATTCTAGTAAAATGTTGAACAGTAGTGGAGTTACTGGGTATCCTTACCTTGCTCCTGATGGTAGTAGTGAAATTGTCACTAGTGTTGTCCACTAAGAAGATATTAAGAAAATATCCATTAATTCCTGTTGTAGTGTTTTTATTAGGTGTTGATTTTTATTGATTCATATCAGTATCGATATGTGATTTGTCTCCTTATATTCATTAATATGGTGTATTATATTGATAGGTTTCCTAATACTGAATCAACCTTGTATTCTTAAAATCAATCCCACATGAAGCAGGTCGTGTGGTGTGTTGGTTAACAGTTCGCTTGGGAGTGCTGGCTCTGAGCAGCAGGGCCATGGTTCAGATCCCATATGAGGGTCGGTGACTCTGTGCCCTCTACAGCTAAGACGGTGAACAACAGCTTGACCTGGAGCTGGGCTGTCATGAGTCGTTGGCTACAGCGTAGGCTGCAGTGGGCTGCCATGAGCTACTGTGAGTGGCTGGCAGCCAGCGTGAGCAGCCGGCAGCTGGCATGAGCTGCTGTGAGCTGCCATCAGCGGCCATCCAGTGGCCAGCAACCGACTGCCTCACCCGGGAAGAGCGCAATGATAGTACCAACATGGGCCAGTGAAGCGAAATCCTCCACAACTAGGCTGAAGAAGAAAAAAGGAAAGCAACTTGTCTGTTCCCCTCCCCCAATTTCCCAATTAAAATCTTTTAAAAAAATAAAGAAATCAGTAAAAAATAAATCCCACGTGGCCATGGTATATTATTTTCTTAATATGGCATTGAAATTTGAAAGCTAATACTTTATTCAGTACTCTGTATCAGTATAATTGATATTGATATATAATTTCTTTTTTGTACTGTACTGCCTTTGGGAATTAGTATTATCCACTTTCAATGCTCTGAAACAAATTTTAGAGCATTGAGGCTACCTGGTACTTTATTGTAAAGTAGTTCCTTGGGGTCCTTTCTCTATTTCTTGTACAGAAATTAGATTATCTCAAATGTGGTTAACATTGATAAACTATACTTATGTAGAAAATTATATTTTTCATTGCAAGTTTTCAAAATTTTTTTTGCAGAGAGGTTGGCAAAGAAGAGTTTTATACTACTTTTAAAAACTGAGATAGGGCCAGCCAAGTGGCTCAGTTGGTTAAGAGCGGGAGCTCTGAGCAACAGGGTTGCTGGTTTGATTCCCACATGGGTCAGTGAGCTGCACCTGAGTTGAGCTGCTGCTGAGCTGCCAACAGGTGGCAGGATGGATCAGCTGGTGAGAGCACGTGCTCCTAACAACAAGGTTGCCAGTTCGACTCTCACATGGAATGGTGGGCTATGCCCACCCACAACTAAGATTGAACACAGCAACTTGAGCTGAGCAGCTGTGAGCTGCCGTCAGGCGGCTGGATGGCGACCGGACTTGGAGCTGAGCTAGCTGCACCCTCCACAACTAAGATTGAAGAACAACAACTTGGCTGTTCCCCTTGACCAATTCCCCAATAAAAATCTTTAAAAAAAAAATTGAGATATAATTCATATACCGTAAAATTCACCATTTCAGTGTTATGGGCTGAACTGTGTCACCGCCCCCTCCCAAATTCATATGTTGAAATTCTAATAACCAGTACATCCGAATGTGACTGCATTTGGAGACAAAGCCTTTAAAGAAGTATTGGGTTGTTGGAAAAGTCATGATGCATGTATTCGCAACATTGGCACTAGTTCATTTTTGGAAGTACTAGTCATTCGCACCTATGTTATTGCTATGCCATTTGACAGCTGACAGTTCTAGTTTCATTCTAAACAAACATTGAGTGATTTCGTTGAATTTTGGAGATTTTAGAAGTTGAAGATGGAAGATCAAACTGTGCATTTTTGCCACATTTTACTGTTTTACTTTCATAAAGGGAAGAATGCACATCAAACTTGGGAAAAGTTGCATAAAGTTTACGGTAACAATGCTCTACAAGAACGTCACTGCCAACGATGGTTCACGAAATTCTGTGCTGGTGATTTTGATCTCAACAACGCTCCTCAGTCGGGGAGGCCCACTGAGGTTGATGACGACAAAATAAAGGCATTGATCGAGTCAAATCCATGTTACACGATACGAGAGATTGCAGAAACATTGAATACCCATCATTCAAGTGTTCACAACCACCTAAAGAAGCTGGGATATGTAAGCAAGCTCGATATTTGGGTTCCACATAAACTCAAAGTTCATTTGATGGCGTGTATAAACATCTGCAATATGCTCATTAAACATGAGGAAAACGATCCGTTTTTGAAGTGACTGATAACTGGTGATGAGAAGTGGATTGTTTACAACAATGTGGTGCACAAACGGTCTTGGTCCTGATGTGATGATTCGCCTCAAATGACATCGAAAGCAGACATTCATCAGAGGAAGGTTATGCTCTCAGTGTGGTGGGATTTTAAAGGTGTCGTGTTTTTCAAGCTCCTACCAAGGAACCAAACAATCAATTCAAATGTGTACTGTTGGCAATTAGACAGTTTGAATGAATCCATCATCCAGAAACGTCCAGAGCTTGTTCATTGTAAAGGAGTTATGTTTCTATCATGACAACACGAGACCACACACAAGTTTGATCAACCGTCAAAAATTACTGGAGCTTCAATGGGATGTGCTCCCACACCTGCCATACTTGCCTGACCTTGCGCCGTCAGACTTCCACTTGTTTCGCTCTCTTCAAAACTCCTTGCGTGGCATAACGTTCAACTCAGATGAGGCTGTAAATCAGCACCTTGTTCAGTGTTTCACAAATAAAGACAGGTCCTTCTAAGAACGAGGAATTATGAAGCTCACTGAAAGATGGCAAAAGGTTATTGAACAAAACGGGCAATATATCACTGATTGACCTTTGTTCTTTATATAAATAAATGATCTTTGAAAAATATAGACAAAATATGTCACAACTTTTCCGACAACCCAATAATTAAAGTAAAATGAGGACATTTGGATTGGACTTAATGAAATGACTGATGTCCTTATTAGAAGAAATTAGGAAACAGACAACACACAGACAGAGGGGCAACTGTGAAAAAAACACAGGGAGAACAGTTACTGCAGGCCTCAAGGAGAGAGCCTTCAGAATGAAATCAACCCAGCTGACACCTTAATAGATTTCCAGCTTCCAGAAGTGTGAGAAAGAAATGCTGTTGTTTAAGTCAGCCGATCTATAGTATTTGTTATGGCACTCCTGGCAAACTAACATATAAAATATACAATTCAGTAGTTTTTAGTGTATTCACAAGTTTATGCAACCACTACCACAATCGAATTTCAGAACATTTTCATCACTTCAAAAAGAAACCCTGTACCTATTAAATGGAACTCGCAATTCCTGCTTTCCTTAGTCCCTGGTAACCACTAATCTACTTTCTATCTGTATGGATTTGCTTATTCTGGACATTTCGTATAAGTGAAAATCATATGATATGTAACGTTTTATGTCTGGCTTCTTTCACTTAGTATGTTTTCAGGGTCATCCATGTTGTTGTATGTAGCAGAAGTTCATTACTTTTTATGGCTGAATAATATTCTATTGTATGGATATAGTACATTTTATTTACTCATTCACTTGTTGATAGACATTTCGGTTGTTTTCACATTTTGGCTATTATGTATAATGCTACTATGAACATTCACATATAGGAGTTTGTGCAACGTGTTTTCAATTCTTTTTGGTATATATCTATGAATGAAATTGCTGAGTCATGTGGTAACTATATCTAACTTTTTGAGGAACTGCCAAATTGTTTTCCAAAGCAGCTGCACCATTTAGAGTCTTACCAGCAATGTATGAAGTTTCCAATTTTCCACATCCTCACCAAAACTTATCATCTCTTTGATAGAGCCACTCTATTGTGTGTGAAGTCCTCATTGTGTTTTGATTTGCATTTCCCTAGTGACTGATGATAATGAGCATCTTTCCATGTTTATGGACAATATTTATGTCCTCTCTAGAGAAATGTCTATTTAAATCCTTTGCCCATTTTAAAAATTAGGTTGTCTTTCTACTGTTGAGTTGTAAGAAGTTCTTTATATATTCTGGATACAAGTCCCTTGTTAGATGTATGATTTACAAACTTCTCCCATAGGCTGTCTCTTCACTTTCTTGATGGTGTCCTTTCAAAGCACAAAATTTTTTAATTTTGATGGCATATGATTTATCTATCTTTTCCTTTGGTCACTTATGCTTGAAGGTGTCTATGTAAAAAAGCCACTGATGAATCCAAGGTTAGGAAGATTTATATCTATGCTTCCTTTTGAGAATTTTATAGCTTTATATTTTATAGTTCTTACATTTAGATCT